GGAAAGCAGAGGGTCAGTGAAAACGAGGAAAATCCTTAATGCAATGAACTGACCCAGTGGCTGAATCAAGGAGCTCAGGTGACTGTGAGGATGGTGCGGGGTTTCTTAGTATTAGTGGGAGTGGGCCCGACAGCAACTCACAGCAACAACTGTGTATCGTTGCTTTTAAAATTACGCTCATAGAAGTATCCACAAGGCTATACTTGTATGCACTGCCCTACTATTATTTTGGCCCACACACTACAAGAGTGTGGTGGATCTGACCATCATGAAAGGTTGGCTGACTGACTCTTTCTGATATCACTGTAGAAAAGCCACACTTTGACAAAGAAGAGGTAACACATTCCTCTCTTACTTTAGATCTTTGATATCTGGCCAATTATTAGGAATACTTTCTCATCCCCAGTTAGAAATAAAAACAAATGTGTAAGAACACACTCTGTTAGCAACCTAACCTAGAAACATTTCGCAAAGGTACACATATTTCAAGCCTCAGTGTTTATAAGGAATTAAAACAATTATGGAAAGTTAACTCTACACCAAGATACAAAGCCAGGTATTTTACATGTTATTTCTATTATTCTTCAATAGCATCCAATGAAAGGAGTATTGTTATTATCATTTTATAAAGGATGAAACTGAACATCAGAGAAGTGACATCTTTCACTATAGGTGAAACAGGTTTTAAGTCTCTCTGGCTTAACCTGGTCACCACTGGACCACATATCCTCCTGCTGTCCCATGAACTCACACTTTTTGCCCTTGTCTGACTTCAATGGAAGGTACATTCATTACACTTCACTGTTAATGACATTCAGAACTACAGATCTATTTGTGATCTATAAATAAGACAAGAACAAGCATTTTCTCTAACATCTGTTCCAAAGCTATCTTCCTGCTGAATAAAAATGTAGTCATACTTGAAAGAAACATATTTAAATATCTATAAAGTCCTGATAAGGACGCCCGGTGGCACAGAGGCTAACTGAATGGTTACCAGTTTGATAAAGATGAGGGAGTCTGTTTTCGTAAGGATTTACAGCTTTGGAAATCCTATGGGGGAAGTTCTGCTCTGTCAATGCAGGGTCATATGAAAGGAACTCTGAGGCATAGTAGGTTAAGGATTGGGTACTAACTGTAAGGTGAGCAGTTTGAAACCACCAGCCACTCCATGGGAGAAAGACGAGGTTGTCTACTCCCATAAAAAATAAAGGCTTGAGGGGCCGGTGCCAATCCCAACTATGTGGACACCTGTCCCTCCCCCCAGAAGAATTTATTTCAGAGGACAGCACTGAATCTGCATCTTTGGGAGAGGGACATGTCTGATCAGAGCACACGGGAGCAAATGAAGGGGGAGGAAGAGTGGAGCACATCCTGGCCCACCAAACCTTGACAACGAGATTCCTGCTCCCAGCAGCCAATGCACAGAGATGATCATATGGTTGCCCGACTATGAGACACAACATCCCTCACTGACCCATAGTCCTACAGGGGACAACAC